ATAGAGGCAGAAAACAGGATGGGTCAGGAGAAGCGAAAGAAGTCTGGTAATAAGCAACTGGAGAAAAATCAAAGGCCAATCAAGGCAGCTGATATCTAAGCATAACTGCAGCAGGAAACCCGACAACTTCATCAGGGTACCAGTGTTCTTACCATTCATTTGAAAGCTGCAAGGCTGGTTTTCAGCCTGCCTGAAAGCATCTTCCTGATTAACATACAGTATTCAGCTTTACTGGCTAAGTCACTGATGTACATTTACTTTGTTTACCTTTCATACAGGGCACTAGCAGATTTTCTTCTTTTAAAGAGCACACCTACACACACACATACACACTATGAATATCAAAGTATCTAAATACAATCCTCTCCCCCCCCCTGCAATTTCCAAAATGATGAATCAATTTTTTTTGTCTATGCTTGTTGCTAACTCACTGAGTATCTATTCCAGCTGATACACATATTGTCCAGAGAGGACAACTGTTGCAAAAAACCCACTGGAGATGATACAGCTGTGTACAGAGATCCTCAGTAAGTTCAGAAACATGGATCCTGAATTCCTCAACATGAAAAAAAATTAATAATCTGTCATTTTAATGTTACACAAAACAACAACAAAGGTTTTAAACAACCCAGATACTTCCCCCCACTCTGTGTTAGCTTTGATACCTCTGCAATTTGTCTGTTAAATCTTTGGAACTAGTGTAGTTCCCATTGCAGAAGTTTCTGAAGAGTTCACAATATTTCCTATATTTATCATCTGGCAGGCCTGTGAGAGTGTAAAAAATTTCTGTATTTGTCAATGAGTCTCTCAACAAGTATAACCGCACCTCATCTAAAAACTAGAATTTGGGGAGTTCCTGGAAAATACACAAGGTCTGTGACAGAAAGACAAATCTACTCCAACTTTCCCAAAGGCCAGACTAATTTCTCAATGTGTGGACTCTTCTTCAGTTACAGAAGGAAATAAGTTCCTTCTTCACATCAACACCACTTTCTCCTACAGGAGCGAAAAAGAGCAAAATCTACATCAATTACCTGCTTAGATATGATGTAAAATTCCAAGGTATGAAGAGGCAAGACATAAGAAAAAAAACCTTTTTCTTCAAATCATAAAATAAAATTTATAAAAATCTACCTGGTTTTGCCTCACTTAAGATGCATACTATATTAGGATTCCATTCTCATATTCTTCACTGTTTTTCTTACTATGGAACCTAACGGTGTTATCACAGATTAAGACTTGATTGTCACCTTGTGTGCCTATAATTTAAATTCCTACATAAATATCCACATGATAATCCAGATTTCACTGCTCAGAGGTAAGACTATCTCAGCAGTATGAAAAATGTTCACCACAACTAGAAAAAAATACATCCCTTCACATTGTCATGTCAAAACTGGGAGATCTAAGAAGAGGTTTGACAAAGGCAAAAAATAAAATGCTAAGGAATTATAGCTCAGGTTTGACTTGAAACCTGAAACTTACATGATTTGCCATGAGTAAGAGGTTCTTTTTTGAAGTGTTGTGCAAAGATGGAAGAATATAACAACTAAAGATACAGTGATGGGATCTACAAAACGTTATGGGTTGAAGAAGGACCTTATAACAAAGGTCCAAATTATTTTTCGAATGTTTATTCCGTTTTCACTATGTCAATTTGTAATTACATTATTATTTACAAAGAATTTAAGATTTCAGAATTCAACTAAGCAGCACAATTGTGAAAATACACCCAGCATAAATAACTATTTTTCTTATTAAACTTCTACTTCATGACGTCTTTCTCCAAATCTTGGCAGTTTTTATATACAGACTTGAATTTACCTAAGAGAAGTGGTGCAACTTCATTCAGAAATATACCAATATGGACAGTCTGCATCATATTAACATAACTTTGGCTTAATACATTTTTTACATTAAATAGACTTATTTTAGTAATGGTTTAACTAGCCATGGTTTTTTTATAGCACTTAACTGCCATGTAGGTAAAAATTATCCTTTAAAATAATCTAATGTTGATTTCTGGATGACAAATCAGCATGGTAGTAAATGTATCTATATGAAAAACATAGCAAAAAACTAGTAGCAATTAAGTTTCGTATGCAAAGCATTAAAGATAATATAACATGACACAAGTTCTATTAGGAGAAATGAAATAATTTTAATTGAACTATACTATCAGTATATACTATAAATAGCCATTCTCTTGGGCATTTACTGATGAGGAAAAGTGCAACATTCTCTCTTGAAATTCAGATACTTTCTTTTGACCAAAATGTTTCTTTATGCTAGACAACTTTTCTGGTTCCAGTTAAATAGTAAAAAAAAAAAAAAAGTCAATAGCATCATCAATGGGCTACAAATATTAAGGCCTTTTTTGAAAATGAATCAGGTGCAGATATTGAACTGTACTTTTTCATCCTTTGTCTCACTTTTCAAATGATGATTTTTTCCACAGCCACCATTAAATCTTGATCTATTCCAGCTCTCTGTATGGGTCACTGATTCTAGATGTACCATGGTTATTTTTAAATGTTTCCCTTTGGTAGAGAAAAAGAGGGCTGTCTAGAGCCAGATGGGTAACTTCACACTTCATTTATCAAACCCAATGCATTAGACTCCACCCCCTCTTTCCCACTATTGCTGTTAAATTTCCATATAATTTGCTAACAATTTTCATTATCATACAGTGACCCTAAAAAGTCTACACAGGTTTGCATGGTTAGTCCAAAATTCACAGCTGTTCCCTTTACCCTCTGTTTGTTACAGTAGAATCTAAGGTTCCCCTTGCTTTATGAGCTGAACAGTGACCCTCTGTAAGCAGAGGTCAAGAAGGGGTCAGTTCAAAGGGCTAGAGCAGCTCTCTAACAGCTATAACAACCTGTCCATCAGGCACTATCACGCAGTATAAACAAATCTGGGGCTTTAGAAACTCTGGACCATTTCTGTTAACACTTAGAGGACATTCACTGAGTCCTACCTGAATATTTTGGACCACTACCACTCAACACAGAACAACTTGAATCCTAAGACAACCTGCTCAAATACTTAAGATACTGATGACATCCTCAAGTCAGAAGTACATGAAATGGTGAGTTGTAACACTGAGTGCACTACCATGTGCTTTGAACTATGAAGCCATGATAAAAACTTAAAGAGTAATTTCAGAATATGCAAAACCACAGGTATAACTTAAAGGAAATAATGCAAGGACATGCTTTAACCAAGTAGATACACAGACATACCAAAAGAGCTCACATGCTTTCTCTGAGAAAGGCTAAATTTCAAAAAGCTCAGTTTTTTTATCAACAGTTTCCAGCATGTATTTAATTTAAGGTGTCAATGACACACATAAAACCCATGAAAGAATAGAATGTCCACATCAACTCTACAAAGACCAAATGCAGAGTAAAGTTTTTGCCAGCTGCTCTCCCTTCATTGACCCAAATTTCTTGAAGTTGTATGGTTCATAATGTGCTCTCTAATGCACAATGTAAGGTAATTAGAGTCATCTGTATTTAACTTCCAGAGGAAAAAAAAAATTCTATTATCTAATCTAACTGATCCCCTGATAGCCTGTTGAAAGTAAAATACCGTAACCTATTGCCTGCCCTTTGACAAGTGCTAATTATTTCCTGTCCAAGCACATTTTTCTCATGTAATTCCAAAGTACACAATAGACTGATCTCTAAAACATGGGCAGCCCTGCTAGTACCACGGCGGACGTTTTATAACTTTCACCACCCTATGCTTGATGGCTACCACAGTCAGTGCTTCATTCCAGACATCTAGCTGAAGCTTTGATGAAGCAAAGTGAGGTGTATGGTAACAGTCTGTTTATGCAGATCATATGGATGAGACTCTCAGATAGGTCACTGGGATGGAAAACATCAAATGAAAAGAAAAAGGATTAAGGATATTTAATACTCAAAGGACACTTTATTTCAGAACTTTCAAGGCACAATGCTCTTGAAATTTTCTTTCAGGTGTTTAGTTTTAAGGAGGCCTGCACTTTGTCTGCTTGAACCTCTCCCCACCCCCACCCAAGGACTGGAGCGTTTGAGCCTGTAGACGACATCTACAACTGCAACCCTGGCTCCAGCCTCTGGCTGCAGCCTGAGCAGCGCAGCTAAGGCCACAAATGCCACAACCTGCATGACTGCTCAGCGAGTCCTGCTTGCCACCAGTCCCCATCACTGCTCATGTCAGGGAATAACTATTAAACTAAATGAATACTAAAAATGACACCCCCACTCATTAGATTTGCTTAACCTTCCCTTATCTCTAGGAAGGAAGTTTTCTGTTCCGGTTCACGACAAAGATGCACGTGCTCCTCAGAAAAACCTGAAGTGATTTCCTCTGTTTCCACTGTAGTCCAACTGTTTGCGTTGTTTAGTAAGCATGGTGATGGAAGGCAAAACCCCACAAAAATCTCTTCAATTCCTCAAAAAAGGAAGAACCACAAACTACATGATAATACAAGCAATATTGTAGACCCAGCTTGTGAAGCTCTTTTCCACTCTGAGGTCTTAAGTAGTTAGTGCAGACCATACTCATAGAAGACAAACTTTATACAACACAGCCTCTAAATTGTATAATAATTGCTACTATGTAATAATGTTTATTTTTTATCTAAAGCTTCTGAAATGTTTCAAGTTCACTCACTGCAGTCATTGGGAACAGCAAAGCCACTCAAGTGTGAGTGATACCAGTCCTCAAGTTTGTATGCTGCCTATCAAACTGCTATCAATAGACTGCAATTTTTAAGCTGAGTAAGGGAGCATTCTGTCCCACAAAGTAACTCTGAAATCAGAAGCAGAAACATTGACTATTCCATCCAATGAAAAATACTATTTGAACCGTAAAAATTTTGAATTTTTTTTTTAAATGTCAACTTGTCCCCCCAGAGGATTTATAGGGGTATATTTTATATTATTTTTATTATTCTTATTTGTTACATAGTAATTTTATTATCTTACTATTTTTCAAAAATGTCTCACCTTGCTGTCCATACTTGACGCAGCTTTTGTCGCTCAGTAAGGACTATCAAGAAGCAGCTGATGGTTTCATTCCTTTGTTCCTCAATTTGTTTCTCTTTTCTAACTTCAGAGAGGACCAGGCTTGTCTTAAAGGGAAAAAAAAACCCCACATAAAAATAATAATCTAGAAATAGGAAACAATGTGTAAAATTAATAAAAAGCCCATAAGCAAATAAGGACAGTAAATCAATCGCTTTTTTTATTACAGTTCCACTGCTGACAAATCAATACAGTAAATGATGGTTAGAAATGGCCACCATATATTTGGTATTTAATCAATATACATGGCATATAAGGTAAGCCTTAAAATCTCATTGCCTTAAGTAACACAACAAGATACTGTGCATTCTAGCTCTCATTTTCCTGAGACATAATTATTTTCTAAATATTTTCTTGTATCAAATCATATATGTTTCTCTCAATACAGCATTCGTTTGGGGAATTTCCCCTCTCCTTTGACCCTTGGTGAAGCTAAAGAAGAAAATACCTGTTTGTATTATACCTTCTGAAAGGAATTTCTGATGATGTCCCCATGTTCTATTTACTATAAAACCTTACAAATAAACAAGTAGTAAAACTCTACCTTTTTTCATTTATGGGATAAATTAAAATTGCCAAAATACACATATGCACACACACACACAATGTATTTAAGTAATCTGTGGAGTAGGATGGCACTTGGTCTCTGTAGACCAGAAGTTCCTGGCCTTCCCAATCTTGTGTCCACAGCTGATGTTGATGTCACAAAACTACAGATCATCTTATTGTCCTTCACCCACCCACAAGCCAAGTCCAACTCCCTCATTCCACCTTTGCCTTCAACTACTAACTTGCCCTCTTCTCTCCCATTTCCCCATGTCTGCCAACCTGGGAAAGGCACATGCTGATGTTCATGCTACTAACACATATACCAGCCAGTGCTGCCTTGATGGGCAGCAGTCCAACCACAACCAAGTTGGTGCTGAGGTCTCTTCCTTCAATGAAGATACTGTATTGGCCTGTGACTCAACCAGCCACTGATACTCACATCATTATTTTTGGTGTTCTAACCTTTAGTCACAAGTTGTGCAAAAGTATCGAAGTACATAAACCCTTGTGGGAAGGATGACTGAATGGACAGAATCCTTGCACACACACACCCAGCCCTTTTTTTTTCCCCCACAAAAATATATTTCTAACCTGAGCAGTTGTAGATTTAAAAAACATACACATCACCAAGAGTTGCAATTCCTACTTCCAGCATGGCTTCTCTTATAGGAAAAACATGACTATAAAACATGGCACATGGCTTCCTTGCAACATCACATACACATTCATTCTGTCCTGCCCAAATGTACATCCACTAAAATTCCTCTGGGGATTTTGTGAGATTAACACTTGTTATTACCTTCAGTTTGTGAAAACAGGAAGATCTATCCTTGATCTCACAGGGTTGGGGGGGTTTTCCACAAGAACGAATAATATGCAGATTATACACTTCTTAAGCTATGCAAAGTAGTGGTAATACTGCTACCAGCATGGTGGTTCCAAGACACAAGCATGACAGGGTTCACAGAAACAGAATATAATTGCACTAGAGCAACATCAGATGACAAAAAAACACCTTCCTCTCCATCTCCCAGCTTTATCAGTTGGCCTACCAACAGGCATTAACCCGTCATATGGGACTTAAACATCAAAAAGAACATTTTCTTGTAAAAATCTAAAATGTTCAAAACTCTGTCTGTACAGATCACATTCTTGACCCTGCTTTGACATTACAAAGCAAACAAAAAGCCAGAGTATTTTCAGATAAGGATTCCCTGACATGGGTTTCCCCTTCCACTGACATACAACATCTTTTCCACAAGCTCCAATATCTCCCAATTTCAACAATCCTGATCTTACAGTTTCACCCAGCAACTGCACAGTTTGAAGCAGGATGTGATAGAGGGCTTCAGCATGTGAGAACATACTCATGTGAGATGAAAAGACACACTTTCTTTAATTGATAGAAATTTACACTCCTTGTTATTCAGAATATACGTATTAAGGCTTTAACTTGACACAACAATACAACGAAAACTTAGCTCTGTATTATAGGATAAGACTGTAGCCATACAGCTAAGGTCACAGTACACTAAGATTTCCCTTTCAGTATCCTTGGATGACCTTACTAATTACAATAGGATAGGGAAATCCATGATGTGATGGTGACGGTGAAGTCTGCTTCTCTCCAAGACTGCAGAAAAGGCCCAAGTTTAATCATGCTATGCCTCTCAAAGCTGAAAGTAAAATTATTAGCAAGCAACAAATATCAAGATGCCTTAAAAAAAGTAATTCCCAAAGTGTACAGCATGGAGAACTGATAGTTCCTAAAGAACTTTTGATTCAAATCTGATTAACAGATGATGTTATTAGACTATTACCAGACAGAAAAGATGGGTGACCATTTCTCCAAATATTCACAGTCACATAATGCTTCTGTAGGAATTCTGATGGCCTGACCAAAGGGCCACTTTGGTTCTGAGTTCCACTACCTCAAGTCCCCTTCATCTACAGTAATATCATAATTCTGGAAACTGAACATAATTCAATTTTTTACTGTGAGAACAATTCTATTGCTCCAACCTTCTGTTAACACCTTTCATTTCTGTGGTGATGTACAGAGCTCATGTCAAACTCATAGTTTGACACTGACATCATAAACGCTTCCTTACTGAGCCCTGCGAGTACAGTTGCAGCTACCTAGAGGGTGAAATAGTACTATTAAGCAACATACAACAACAATACTTGGCAATTTAACTGATTTACCTGTTTTCTACAAGTGCTGAGGGCAGTAAGATTACCCTGCGCACAAGTGCAGGGCTTGATAGGAGCTTTTATGGAGGCATTTCTTAATAACTCGCCATTCTTATAATCTTAATAAAAATCCCAAACTCTATGAAATAAAGCAGCATTCTAGGTAAAATAATATTACAAAACATGCTCCTTTGAAAGTTTTCTTTGCCATGTAACTTGTTTTGGGATTTATTTCTAAGAAGGGGATTCAATATATACCTTGACTGATAAAGGTCAAGGGTTCAAGAAACTCGGTCAAAGATGTTATCAGCTGGGAAAGCCATTTCCTCACATCAACACTGATAAAAATCCATCAGAAACCCAGCTGATACCACCCTGGCTCTAAAGGGCAGGAATGACCTTCTTTTGAACATCACTATAGTTGCACATCCCATCAAAGAAAATCCGACCTTGGGTCTCAATTCTTTTAATCTTCTTTAATGACAGATAATTGTCTGCAGAGGCCCTCTTTGCCCAATGCTGAGTGAAGCCTTCACATTTCTGAACTGGACTCAACACTGACTCAGTGTTTTTCAGCACACTTGGGACTGCAAGACAGTAGAATAAACAAACAACGTAACCAGCCCTACAGCCTGTCTTATCTCATCTTTGTGTTCACAGAGATTCTGGAGGGTGGTAATGTTTACAAATTGTTGAAACTTTCTTTCTTCTGCTTCCTGAGCTGGCAAAAACATATCCTGGACAACCTAAGCAACGAGATTACACAAATCGGTTATCACTTGAGGGAAGTGACTTCTTGTCTCATTGGCCAGTATGTCTCTTTAATAAGTAGTACTGTTAATATTCTCAGCAAAACCCCAGTTCTCCTTACAGATCTATTGATGTATTTAGGGCATTTATTAGTAAATCCCAAATAGAAGGGTCTTAAAAACAAACATACAAGCCACCTCTCAAAAAAAGCCTAAAGCTGTATATTTATGTATACACATACATACGCATTATATACAGACAAGTATGTATCAGTTGTCAATTCAGCCTTCTATAGCCTACTACATAGATAGCATTTAGGACTTTCAACCCTCTACCTTCCTCCTGGTACAGCAGCAGAACTAAGTGAAGTGCTCTCCTGACAAATCAGGCAACAGCCATCAGAGCATCTTCTCTTATTATGTAAGAAAGAAAGGTACTAGGACACAATTTTAAGAGACCAGTATCATACTCCTCTTGTTCCCACTGACACAACATATCAGTGACACCAACTGAATAAATATTGTTATAATCAAGTCTTACTATTCACCCAGGATACAGACTCAAAATTAGATACCTCTTAGGAGTGTCAACAAAGCTAAGCAAGGTATTGTAACAGGATTTGCAGTTTGTTGGTTTTTTTTTTCTTAGATACACAGCAGAAGAAACTAGTTTCAACATCAATAGGCCACTACCCTACTTAAATGTATGCATCCTGGGTGAATACCATGACAAGCTTACAAACAAGCCAAAGAAACCCCTGACCTTTAAACACCCCACAGCACTCACCAGTACATTTTTAGTCTTTTAAAGCGAGTTTTTCCTTCCTTCAATATAGACCTCTTGAGAAGCCAGACTTAAGCTAAGAAATGTTGTATAGCTGGAGACATGAAGCCTAGTATTCTGTCAAACAAATTAGCCTTCAGTCTGAACTAAAGTGGCACTTGGGACAGTTTGTCTCTTGGTCCCACTTTATTGGGTCAACAAATCAGATTTTTCACTCTGAGTTAAGATTTAATTTACTCACCACCAGTTTAAACAGAATAAGCTTCTGAGTCTTTACTAACCACTTCTACTTTAATATAGCAGTCACCTCTCAATAATCAATAACTAATACAGAAAGGAAAAATAGAAAGTTTAAAATCTGTAAGCAGAGCTACAACTTTGAATGTAATTCTGTGCCTTCCTTGTTATATCTGTGACTTTATTTTGCTCCTAGGGCAAAAAATATCCTGATTAAATTCTGTAAAACTACAACACTGTACCTTTGAAAAGGGAAAAAAGCCTCAAAACCTGAAATCTATTAAACCATGTTAATTTAACATGTCATAAGTTCTATGCAATAAAAAAGCTAGTAATTGCTTACAAACCACTGCTCATTTCTTCTTTACTTTTAATATCTTTCCTTAAAATATGAGCAAACACACCCATTTTCATTGATATGGTGGAAGCAGCTAGTATGGTTTAAGTTATCACCCAGTAATTTGGATACATTAAACCCATTTCTCTGCCTTTTGTTTATTAATCCACTATGCCAGATATCACAGTTTCACTCAGC